GATATGACAAAACAGTCAGTGCCCCAGAGTGTCGGATGACTCTTACCCTTCGCTGCAGAGAGGTCTGACCCAGTGCAGCGGCCAGAAAGCCGCCGTCACTGCCGCAGAGGCTCTGGAGGATTGAAGGATTTCCCGCAAATGAAATCAGCTTAGCTGTTTGGGCAGGCAGCCAAAAATCGGAGTCACAAATTAACATGGCCTTTAGAGGCAAAAAGACAGTTTGCAGCCTCATTGCACAGCTCACCAGCCAAGGGTTTCCCTGCAGGCTCCGTAATGTTTCTGTTTCCTCAGCCAGAAATACAATTCTGTAAAAATAACACTTAGGTCTGAAGGTTGGTGGAAGGACTAAATAACACAATATATGGAAAATCTCTTAAACAGTATCTGGCACATAGCAAACAGTGAGTTGCGTTCCCTTTTCTGACCAAGAAATTCGTTGAACACATAGGCTCAAGGTTCTGTGCCCTGAGTCACACAGACGACGACGTGTGCCCTCTGTCCTCAAAAACCTACAATCTTGGTATTTACTCAACAGAAATAAATACTTTTGTCTACAAAAGAATCTGTCCACAAGTGTTCATGGCCTTTATTCAAAATATCCACAAGCAGGAAATGACTCCGATATCCACCAACAGATGTATGAGTAAACGAACTCTGACAATCCCCTGCTCAGCAAATGAAAGAAACAAACTGCTGATACCAACATGCATGAATCTCCAAAATATTTTGAGAAGGGAGAGAAGCGCAACAAAAGAGCGGAAATAAGTACAGTGTCAGAAAACCAAGGAGAGGTTGCCTGGGGCCGGCGGAGCAGGCAGCGCTCACCTGCTGAGGAGGACAGGGGAACTTTGCGGAGTGATAGGAATGTTCTGGATCTTCTTGGAATGTTGGTTGCATGAAGCGACATGTTTGTCAGGACCCATCAAACCCTGCACCTACTGTGGGTATGAGGGTAAAATAGAAGTATATCTGACCTCAGTCTCCAGCTGCGGGCACAGGGCTCTCAGAAACCTGGGACTGTCCTGAGTGATGGGACCGTCTCTTGTTACTCATAAGAGCCCCTTCGGTCCTTGAGATGACCCGTGAGGAGTCAGGGGACCTAGAAAGCTTCCGATGGGAGTCGGTTGCCAGAAAAGCTAGTCATGTGATTGGGTTAGAACTTCCAGCCTCATCCCCAGCCCCACCTCCAAGGAGGGAGGGGAGCTGGAGATGGAGTTGAAGCACCAATGGCCCGTGGTCTATTCAATCCTGCCTAAGAAATGAAACCTTGAGAAAGACCTCAGAAAGATGCGTTTGGGGGAGTTTTCTGGTTGCGGAACATGCCGTGGGCATGAGGCGGTGCATCCCTACTCCACAGGGAAGTGGGTGCCCCTCTTACAACCCTACCGGCCCTTGCTCCGTGTACATGTTCATGTGTCTGTTCGTGTGTATCTTACAGAGTCGATTATAATCATAAGTGTTGTGCTTCCCTGGGTCCTGCGAGTTGTTTCAGTAAATTGTCATGGCTGGGGGCGGGGGTGGGGGGGTCAATTCCCTCTGTAACTGGTGGTGGCCGTAGCGAGCATCCCGAGAACTTAGGAGAAAGAGAAACCGGCTGCCCCCTGATGGTTCGCCTGGACCGTGGCAGCAAGTCTAAAGGAGACTATGTGGACCCAAGGAGGCCCGAGAAGGGTGCAGCCTGCGTCCAGCGCGCACCCTGCACACCACCCCAGCCAGCCCTGTCCAGGGGTCGAGGCCATGGCCAAGGACAGAGAGAAAGGGTTTGCTGGGCAGGCTGGCCCATGCTTCGGAGTGGAACTCAGCTGGACCCGAGACCCAGCCCGGCCATTTCCAGGCTGCGTGACCTTCCGCACATACTGAACTCACCCCTGTATCAGTTTCCTTACCTGCAAATGAGGGTGGGATCCACCTCATCGGGTTACCACGGGATTATGTGAAGCCCTCAACGCAGAGCCTGACTCAGGCAGGTTCCCAATCAATGTTAGCGAATAAAAATACTATGAAACGCAAAACCAGCCGTCTAATTTTAACCCTAAGCTGAGCTGGATTTATGCGAGCAGGCGAGAGAAGGCGTCAGGCTCCCGCCCTGACGGGACCGGCGGCTGCGCTGGACTGAGTCCCCCCCACTCCCAACGTTAGTGGTTACTTTGCAACACCCCAGCCCCTCTGGGCCCCTCACACCGCCTGGCAGAGCCTTTCCACTGTGAGTCCTTACCCTGAGGGCACTGCGGTGTCTGCGGACAATGTCCAGGTTTCCAGGTCTAGAAAACGACCCAACCTACTGATTCATTTTAAAGTTTTAGCAACTCGTTTTTCCACTTATGAGAAAGTCCTTCCAAAAGAAACTACATTTTTCTACAAAGTCGAGTGTCTTACACAATCATAAAATGAATGCTTTGGGGAGGAGCATGACTCTATTTCCAGATATTTGGAAATATGTTATGACTAAGAGGCTGGAAACAGAGGATGACAGTCACTTGGCCAACCAGGGTTCTGTTTGTTCTTCTCTGAGGAGCTAGAACCACCTACAGGCTCAAGGAAGATCCTGCATCGTTATCAGACTTGTCATTGGGTGCCCGATAGCTGGCTGCATTTTGACTCCTTCTGTGTGTAATACAAAGCTACGACATTCGAACCATCAATTATTGGTTTTAATGTCTTTGAAAAAGACGTAAATAACATTTTGCCCAAAATAAATGATCTTGGATCAAATTCTTATAAACAACACACAAATTAATGGACCAAGTGGTGTGGAGTTTTTCTGTTTGTTAGTTTTTCCTCTGGCTAACAGAGACCGTAAGCCCACCTTCTGCCTGCAACCGAACCCGGACCTGAACACGTCCGTCGGGCTCGCGCGCAGGCATTTAACAAGAAGCTTGTGTTTGTCCCCACCTAATGGTCATTCTCTGTTACTACAATTCACCGGGGCCACTTCACGTAACCGTGCACGCACAGGTGTAACGGCTACACTGCTTTTGAAAGAAAACCGTTTCAAATGTTCCTCAAGAATCTTCTCCGGCAATACATTTCATTCTGTTTGTCCACCTCTCACACTTCACCTGGAAAGCTAAGAACTCAATGACAACCACAAGGCATCCATACTGCACATCTTGGGTCCTTGTACCAAATGATTTCAACCCACAGAAATGCAAGGAAGCAAGGGAGAGAAAACGCAGAGGGGAGAAGGGCGCACTTCATGGTTAGTGGTTAGAAAAATGCCTTCAAATTTGGGGGTATTTGCTTTTCTAATTAAAAACACAAAAGGAACAGTTAACTTTGAATGTTTAGGATTCCTGTCAACTAATAAACCAAACTCTTTCCACTTCTACTAGCATCAAATCATCATATAATTATATATAAATCATATAATTATTTCATTTTCTGGTGGTGTCTCTTTTCTGCAGAATGATTTTGCTTGTTCACTGGGGTTTTCTTTATTCTTTTTTACATATTCATAACGCTTTTCAGTTTCCAGAAACTTCCTATATTGATAAGGCATGTGGATTCTTTAAATTATATTTTGATATTGCACAGCCCATATTTGAGGATTTTCCTCTCTCTGCCCCTGGGCCCACTAGCCACTGAAGGTTAAGCCTGAGAACTGAGTTGCAAGAGAACTTATTCAATTTATATGGTATTGTTCTCTAAATAATGTCTGCATTTCAATATTCCTTTAAAGAAAATGTAATGTAAATAAAAACACCCTCCTAGAATATTCCTTTTATGACTACAGAAAGACAACTTAACAAAAAAGTAATCCAATTTAAACAAGTGGCCTGGTTTGTTATCTTTGCTTATCATTAGCACAAATACTTATTTTCATTTACAAATGTGAGAAATAGTAGGAAAATTGGCTCCGAGTTGCATAAACCTATCTTCATCCCACCCTATCACAAAAGAGTTAAACATCAGCCTAGAGAACAGCCAAAGTGTGAGGCCTATGTGTGCATGGAGCTGTTATGAAAAAAACATGCTTTTAAATGGACGTAACTTAGTGCAGTGAACTACACACAAAAATTAATTTATTAATTGCATGAATTCACATTTCAGTCCAGCCTCTCATGTTATTTTTAGCAAAGAGAGAAATGTTTTTAAAGTCATCTACATCAATGATTTGGAACAAAATCATCTTAATTCTCTTCAAAATGCCTGTTTTTTTTATTAGGGCAGCTAGAAAAGAGGTGTTCTCCAGAGTTTCTGAGATCCACACGGCTTCTGCCACCACGGAGAACATCCTCAAATAAAACACACAGGCTTCTTCGCTGCAAAACAATCAGCAGACTCAGGGGGAGGAAAAGTTGGCGGCCACGCCCAGCTGAGTTGCCGTAATCAATTAGAAAACTATCCTTAAAAAGCAAGGGGATGAGCTATTCCAACAGCACAGAAGCAACGTTTACAGCAAGAAAAATATAAGGAATAAATAGCACATTCATCAAAAGGGGAGAGATGGCAACAAAATCTTCCAAGAAAGAAAAACATCTATGATAAACCAAGGTGCAGCAGGTGAGCAGAAACGCGCTGTGAAACCTACCTGGTGGAGGAGTCATGGGGGCTGGACGAGCTCTGTCGGTGGCGGGGACAGGCGCTCTGGCATCAGGAGGCAAAATTGCAGGTCCAGGCTCAGCACATCACAGCCACGGCTGCCGCTCAGTCGGGAGAAAGCGGCAGCCACTCCCTTCAGCGCAGAAACGGGCAAAGGACCCTGGGCTGTAAATGTATTTACCCTTGCTATTATCCCCACACACGGGGATGATACCCCCCCTTTTGGACAAGGCTTCAAAGATAACGCACACAGCGCTGTGTGTCACACAAGAATATGACGTAACAAGATGCTCAGTGGTGTTTGAAAACACAGACCAAACAATCAGTGAAACAAAACACAGCCAACCCAATGCAGACAGAAAAGTTCTGCGGCGGATCTGGACGTGGCAATAGATTGAGTTCAGGCACATACAAGTAGGGACCTAAACTGCAACATCAGATGCTCTTGGGACAAGATCTTTGCTATTAATCTTTATTTGTGTGCTTGTTCTCTGGAAAGCATTTTATTTCGAAAGCTAATTCTGAGGCAAGTAGCATCAGGCACATACAAAGAAATACTTGTCCTAGCACACAGAGAAGTTCTATATATGGAAATCATTTTTTTGTTCAGGGTATTAGAAGGTCTATTCATGCAGAGCAAAAAAGAAAAGAAAAAATTAGGCAAAGGCCAAAAATGTCAGGCCCGTGGAGGTATGCATGTGTTGTCTTGATGCTGAATTCTATGTCTGTGGACAGCTCCACGCACAGATGGACGACCTCGCTGTGTCACTGCGCCCCCACCCCCGCCGTGAGCCCCAGATGTTCCGAGAGGTAGGCTCGCTTCAGGCCGAGGCGCTTGTCAAGTCTGGTTTGTGGGGAGATGGTTGAAATGTTGCTTCATGACGTGGGCTTTCTGAAAGACAGGGAAAGTGTGAGGGAGATGACTGTTAAAGGGAGAAAAAGAATGTTTAGCACAATCCTCATTGCTTGTCATGCAAGAAAGGTAAGTATTGCCTTTCATTCCGTAAACCACTACTCATCATTGGTTCCAAGTGCAAGAAAGGGAATTTAAGTCTTTCTCATGGGAACTCAGACCGGGTTGACAGCTTTCTCTGTTTTAGCACATAGCAAACGCCATAAGCAAGGCCACATCTTTGGTTTTGAGGGTGTCCCCACTGTGTCCTCATTGAGAACGAATGGAGAGGGTCGGTTTACAGTCCTGTCCTGCAGGAGACCCTTCGGAGCGAGACTTCAGTCTCGTGCTACCTGATGTTTCTCCTGGGGCTTCACCTGAGTGTCAATTTCAAACGCAGGAAATAAGAAGTGTTCCTAGTTCCGTTCACTGCCACGCTCTCCCCTAACGCCACCTATGCAAGCTATGGGATGGGCGTGTCTTTGGAAGCTGGACGGTTTGCCGAATGTCTCATTGTACCGCCAGGCTGCGTTTTAAAGAAGGACATTGAATCTCTCCAGCGGTCAGGGTGGGACGGAGGGAGCTGTCTGAGGCACGCCTTCCCTGTCAGCCATTGTGACCCCGCAACAGACTCCTGTGGACTGACTGGATTCCAAACCAGAAGCCATCAGAAAAACCCACAGAATGTGCTCTCTTTTTTTTTTTTTTTTAAATCAGCCTACAAAGCCATCTGGCTACATGAAGGATTCTCTCAGCTGCACCGTGTCACATTCGATATTTTATTATAATTACCACATTAGAATTCCATAGTTCTTAAAGAACATCACAATCAGGGTGAATAGAAATGAATTTAACAGCACACCTGGGTCTTTTATTGTGGGGATTTTTTTTTTTTTTTTTTTTTTTGGTATAAGGATACATATCAGCATATTTTCCTTTCCAACTATTCTTCAGATAAACCTCTGAAAACTAATCTTGCTGATGTTCTTTTTTTCAAATATGGGCCCCAACCCATTCCTTAGAAATGGGATGAGGGGCTGACAACGGGCTCCTCCATAGTAATAACAGAAAATAAATAAACAATAAATAAATAAAATAAAAGGAAGCATGCGCAAGATGATAACATTAGGCCTTAGGGTAGAAATCTATGGGCCCAGAACACGAAAGAAAGCTCCCGGGAAGGCATCCAACGACGGGCTAGATTCCGCTGTGCGGTTGAAATGCATGAGCGGGGAGACGCTCGTGGTCCAGTAACAAATTGTGACGGCCCCTCTCGCCAGCGCTAGGGTTTCCTCAGAACGCCCTGCGCCCCCAGACTGTGTGTCAGCTTTTCACGGTTAGGCGTAAGTATGTGAGGAGGGGAGGTTCGTGCTGTTCAAATCGGTCTGCGGTACCTGGAGTGGGGTTACTCGTGAGCAGGTATTTGCCAAAGCACCAGGGACTTCTTGTTCCTTCTCCACGGGAACCCTCCGCGCACCCTAACCCTAAACGGGCTCCGAGTTGACCGCGGACCTCGCGAAGACCTGCGGTGTGGATGCGGGCTGACCCCTCGCTTCCTCCTGCCTCCCGGCCTCTGACCTCCGCGGCCCAGAAACCTGCCGTAGGCGTCAGTGGAAGCATGGCACGGGCGGTAAAGACACTTTTTTACATTATTAATTTTAATTTTAAAAAGAACCCTTATAGCACCAGAGCAAAGTGCAGCCTCCAGTTGGGTTGCAGGTCACATGATAACAATATATTTCCCATAGGCATTTGGTATGTGACTGGTAGCTATTTTCACAGCACATTAGGTGTTTTCGCACACTGTTTTACTGTATGGCCCACCACACTTGAGCACTTGCCCCATGTTCTTATATCTACTATCATTAGATGCTATCATTATCTTATGAATATATTTAGATGGCACTTACCAAGCTTAAGGATTACACAATTGTTTTCCTTCCTGAGTAGAAGTTTAAAACTATGAGGCAGCAAGTGCACTCGTCAAAGATCCCTAAAGTGAGGTGACCACAGTCCACGGCGTTTCTACATGAGTCTTCTGGTTAATATTTAATCAACGGATATGTAATGCCAAGCTCTTATCACTAAATATCTAGCAACAATATTTCTTTCATGAATGACAGCCAGCTTTGTGGTTTTTTAAAGTTACGATTTATTGCCACCACTGTGAACATCAACTGTCACTCCCTATAACATGGAAGTGTACTGGTCAGTGGAGGAGTCTGTGTTCTAGAAGGTGGATAGCAGAACACCGCCTGGACCTTCACTTCACGTAAACAAGGGTCATGTGGAGAAAGAGGAGAAAATAAGCAGAAAACAGGCTCTTCCTCAAATCTTTCCTAGAATCATAGGCTCCCCTGCCCTGGGGCCTAAGCTGTGAGTCTGACGGAGTCCACCAGGCGTGCGGCTCCAGAAAGCCTCGGGGAGGGAGACAGATGGATTTGAACTAGAAGCCACTACTGTTACCCCTGAAATGCAGTATAGAGATCATGCGGTAATAAGCAAGTTTTCAACCCCAGTATTAGGTGACTACCTGAAACACTTGAAGAAATAAAGCATGGAAAGGCCTACGAATCTTCTTCTCCTCCTTCTTCTCCTTCTTCTTCTCCTTTTTCAGCTTCCTCTTCCTCTGCTTCGCCTTCTGCTCCCTCCTCAGTTACTTCTCCCGTCTGTTTGTAACAAAAATCGCTTTATTATTGGGGAGGGTAAGGGTCAACAGATACAGTGAGGAATGGAGTGTAAAGCCTCAAACCAGAGTTGAGGGCCTCCCATACTCCCCACCCAGCACACACACCACACAGCGCGCACCGCAGACCACAATACACACGCCTGCGAGCCCAAAGACAGTTTAAATTGCATGTTACAGAGGTTGAATTTTATTCCTTTAAATTTTATCCTTAATAATTTCAACACTGCTTTCTAATTTTTCTTTTACTGTTTTAATTGCACATTTACATCTTATATCCTCAATATTCTTAATTTTGAATACTTTCTTATTATTAATTCTTAACCTTTTATCTTGATTCTCTTATATTTTAGTTCTTACTCTACTTTTATTCACTTAAGACATTTCTTTCTTAAATGTTTTATTTTATTGAATGTGTATATTTCTTTTACATTTCTAATTTTAATTTTTTTAATGATTTTATTTATTTACTTTTAGAGAGAGGGAAGGGAGAAAGAGAGGGAGAGAAACATTGATCGGTTGCCTCTCGCACGCCCCAAACTAGGGACCAGGCCTGCAACCCAGGCACGTGCCCTGACTGGGAATCAAACCAGTGACATTTTGGTTCACAGGCCAGCATTTGATCCACTGAGCCACAGCAGCCAGGGCTAATTTTAATTCTTTTTTGTCCTTGGCCATGGGAGGAAGCCTATGCCCCAAACAAGGAACTAGAAGCTAGTGTTATCTCTATGTGATCTCTCATCCCTTTTCCCTCAGTGGAAGCCTCTGGAACATAGCTCTCTCAGACACCCCGAAGGCCAGCCAGTCTTAGTCTGGAGGGCCTTAGTCTCCTGAGGGAGGCAGGCTTCTTGAGGTTCAAAACCACCAAGTGATTCTAATGCCTACCCGTGGATGAGAGCCACCATCCTACAACCTCAACTGGAGAGGCAGGTCAAAAATTCTTCCCACATCAATAATGTTCTCCCTGGATAGATTACCACCAGAAATTCTGGAACCATATGGTTTCCTGAGGTCACATAGCTTCCAGACACTTACTGATGAGCTCCATGTTTAAAATTCACAGTGTCTAAGGCGCACGCCTGTGCTGCTGTCTTGAAATCTGGTAAAATCGGGAAGACCTGAAATGGCCTAACTGCTGATTCCCCTCCCCCGCTGCTCCCACACGTGAGGCCTCCTTGCCAAGCAACCCTCCTTACCAAAGGGACTGGGCATGGCACCTGCTTATCCCCCAGAAATATACAAACAGGCCAATCACATCCTCCATGAGAACCAGGGGGCGCACCATCCTCTTGATACAGCAGAGCCCACGTCCGACCAATCCAAGTGCAACCCCTGTGTGGCCCTGTACTGCGTGGCGTCCTCCTCCTGTGACTCGCAAACCACTGTCCAGCTCACCTGTCCAGTGTCGGGTGCATCAGCCACCCCCACAGCCACAGGGAAGGGCTCCCCGCCTCACCAGCGAGGTGACAGGAGGCGGCCGTCGCAGCAGCATGGGACACCATGCATGCTGCATAAATTGCATGAGTCAATGCGACGGGAAGGGAGGATGGAGAAGAAATCACCTAATGACCTGGCCCAGCCCAGCCTGGCTTCACTGATGACACCTTCACTTCCGGAGGCTCAGAAAAAGGTCTAGAGCCAAGCCCTCCTCTCCTGGATAAATTTATCTCCCACTTATCCAGTTCCCTTCTCAGCAGGTGAAAGGAGGATTTTCTGGGAGCGTGGATTGCATCAGCTTCTTTATTTCACAAGGGAAAAAGAGAATGTGGCCAAAGCGACAGTTCTCTCACTACAAGAGCCTGTGCTTTTTGTAAGTGCAACTATTAAACCTGCAACTGTACCTCTTCCGTTGCTGTCTCTCCCTCTTCGTCCTTAGGTCCACGAGCCAACATTAAAGAAAAAATATAAATCAGCATGAGTTTGAGATTGCATCTAAAAATTAAGCAAACTGTAATAAAATACATGTTCATCAAAATGAAAGACAATAGTTTATTGATAAAACATACAAACAGCAAAGATATGATAACTAAGTGACACCTACTTATGTCATGCATTATATGTTCAAGCCCTTGGAATGCTAAGAGATTAAGACACTTTTCTGTCATTCATATGCCAGAGAAAATATAATTAATGATTAATACTGCTTAATCATATGTTTAATTCTATCTTTATGTCCAATGCATATTGCAGACCAGTATTTCAGACCATACATGTAAGCGATTAGAAAATTTGAATGAAACTATGTCTTTTCTGCCTTTGCGTCCTTGTAAGCGTGCCTTTACTGCAGCTTTGAACCAATTAATAAAACCAGATCAGAAACTCCTCCTCCATCAGAACAAAACGATACCACTTCTGAACCGCATCGTGTTCACACACTGATTTCTGATTAAAGAGGGACATCTCCGAGGGGAGGGAGGCTGAGGCCGCCAGAGGCCCAGGCAGGCCCCTGCTCTGTCAGCCCACTGGAATCGCTAGTTTTTCTCACATCAAAGTAAGAGAATCAAGACGTAACTGCTAAAAATGCAAGAAAATAAGAGCCTTCCCATCCGTTCCCAAAAGGGCCCTCTGAGACACCTCCCTGGGGCCAGAGCACTCGGGTGGCTTTCAGCGAGGGACGGGTCCCTCAGGCCTCACCACTTGGCAGCGCGCTCACGGCCTGTCGGGCTGAGCAGGCGCAAGCTACTGCAGCCACGCGCATCCTCTCACCCACTTCCGTCTTGGGACCGAGGCCACAGGCTTAACTACTCTGTCAACGGTCACAGAGCAAACGAGCAACACAATCAGGACTCACTGCACGCATTCCTGGCTCCTCAGCCAGAGCCCTTCACACACACCCTGGCCGTCCCTTAAGCTCGGTCACAGAAAAGACAAAACCGCGGAAGGCAAGTCTCAGAGGGCCTGCCACACAGTCACAACCCCTAGGCCAGCCTTCTGTTTTTGGCCAGCTCCGAAACGATACTCTCAGGTTTCTGAAGACCAGCGTGGAAATCACAGAACCTGAAAGCCCCCATCCAGCTGGCCAAGGCTGGGTCGCCCAAGCACAGGGGACTGTCTTTGCAGTAAACGCCATGGATGGCATGCAAGTTTCACGGCTAAAATACTGTCCAGGACAAGAAAGTGCTGTGCTTGTTACAAAACCCAGAGGTCGGTTCTCAGCCACGCGCTGACCAAAACTCTTTAACGTTGCCTCATTCTGCCCACACCGCGGCCCTCCCCTCCTGGGTCTCCTCTCCCGGGTCTCCTCTCCCACTTACCTCGCCTTCGGTCTTCCCTGTCCCCAACCTGTTCACACTGTAGCCAGAGATACTGTTCTAAAAGACAACAGACCTTGCCGTGACCACAAAGGACAACAAAACACCCATCAGCCTCAGCATGGCTGGAAGGCCACCGCCATCGGGCCTCGCTGCCCATCCAGCCTCGAACATCGCCCTGTCTAAGCCGTACGACACACGTGCAGTTTTCTCACGTCAGCCACGCCTCCCAGGACGCCACTTAAAATGACACTTGCAAGGAAGGCTTTTCTGACCCAGAAGGCCGAGTCAGGGGACCCCGCATCTGCTCCCATATTCATCATTTCTTACCTATCTCCCTGGCTAGTCTGAGTACTCCTGGAGGCATGCCCTGCATCTCACTCATTTGGGGGTTTTTTCCTTTTCATTTTTCAGTGTATTGGGGTGGCACTGGGTAACAAAATTATACAGGTTTCAGGTGTGCCAACCTCACTCATTTTTGGCTCTGCAGGACCCAGCCACCGTCTGCAACCAAGGCGTGAGCTTAGTCGGTGTGTTGGGTCAAGGAACATGGGAAGGCAGCTATTGCCTCTTCGGATCTCGAAGGTCATTAATTTTCTTCTTATCCACATCGGATCAAATGAAAATTCACAATATGCAACACAGAATTACCAACTATGTGACTTTTAAATTTTTCTAAATCTAATGATTTGTATTAACTGTATGCAGCTGAAATAAATGATTTATTAGAGACACACTATTAAGAATGGGGTGTCCTTAGAGCTAGCCAGGGGGCTAGCAAGCAGCCATTACTGCAGGGCAGGGACCATGAAGTCTTCATCAATATTTAAATTGACCTTAATTTCTTGAAAGAGACATTAAATAGAGAAAGCAATTGCTCAGAGAATGTATAGAAATGTGCGGACCGAGCAGACTCCGAAGAACCTCAGACCCGACCGTCACCAGCTCCAGCAGAACCCGCACCCTGGCAGCAGGACGGTGGTTCCTGCCCCACGCCCAGTCCCTGGAACTCTGCCTGGCAGGTGACAATTCCCCATCTGTTGACACAGTGTTGGGTGAGTGCATTTAGGTAGCCACTCCTGTCTCAAATGCCTCTCAGGAGGAGGTGGGGTAGGTTGATTAAATAAAAACTTAATTGTCCATCCTTAGCTCCCAGAATTGTAAAACATCAGAATTAGGCAGATCCTCACCACTAATCAATGCTTGGATTGACTTTTATGGTTGGCAGATAATTATGTTGACAAAAAGGGCTTTTTTTAAAGGAATTATGCTTGGCAGATAATTATATTGACAAAAAGGTTGGTGTTTGTTTTTTTTTTTAAATAATTATAATCACATATAATTCTCACAAACTCCTGCAAAATCTTAGGACAGGGTATAAACCACTCCCTTAACAAAGCTACAGCTTTAAGTTCACCGTGTAGCTCTTCTAAGAAAGCGAGTCAGGGGACCTCGGAAGTGGGCACTCGGCCAGGGAGGCAGCCTGCCAAGCTGGCGCGTGGCCAGCAGTAAGGACAGGTGTCAGCTGTGGGGAGGGCCGGGTAGGACAGGTGGCTGGGGCGGAGGGAAGCCGAGGGCTGGCCAGCAGTCACCTGAGCAGGGCAGCTGGCCTCGGGGTGGCTGGGGAGCAGGGGCGCGGCCTGACGGGCGGACCCCATGGGGAGCCAGGCACGGAGCTGCTCGAGGACCCCCACCGACGTCTGCCTCCTGCAGGAGCTGCTCTCCTCCCAACCAGTTTTGGAGGCAGCCGAGTGGGGGCACTTACAGACCATAATCAGGCCAAGGCCTTAAAAGACTTCGGAGAGGACTTGAGTTGGCACCGACCACGACTTAAAATCTATGAAAACCAACCACAAACATGAACCAGCCTCAGCGTTCCCGGCTTCCATTACATCCTCACAATGGCCCAGTCCACAGTCCCCGAGGGGGTGCCCTGGAGCTGAGGGGACCTGCCGCTTTCCTCCTTCACTCAGGTGCCATCCGCAAGCCCCGCTGCCCTCCTAGCCCCTCATCGCTCCCTGGCTCATCACAGACCTCCCCCCACCCCAATCTACAGTGGGTCTGCAGCTGCAGACCAGATCTTCTTCGGCATCAGTCAGGGGTCTTTGCTGCGTTCCCTGTCCTGCCTCCCAAAGGCTGCTCTGGCCTGTCAGCAAGCGGGTGGCATCCATGCTGGCCTCTTGCGTTTAAGAACCCCGGGGACTTGGAGAGGAGGTTGGGGAGGTCCACATCATTAAAGGAGGCAACGGTGACTGTCTCCGTTTCTGGTTGTTTCCATCAGCATAGCATTCTTAGGAGAATGTTTGTCCCCATCAAAAGGGCATCGTGTGCGTGGGCACGTGGCACGGAGCAAGCGAGCGCCACGGCTGAGTTCAGGTGGACAGCCCACGTCTCAGACACCGACCCAGAGGGTTCACCGCTCAGCCCGACCCTGCCAGCTCCACGGGAGATGGTACCATCGTGCCCTTGAAAATGGTTCTTAACACGCAAGTGACAGGTTCAAAAAGTGGTGGACGCTGACCAAGGTCTGCAGTCGACCTAACAGAGAGGCAGCAGCGTCGCATTCCTGGCTTCCATGTCGCACTGCAGCCGCGTACAACACTATGTCGCCCATGGGAGAAGCCGGGGGCGGGCGCACAGACCTGTGCTACGTCCCTGTGAGTCCATAACTAGTTTAGAATAAAAGGTTAAATGCATTTGGATTCCTTTTCATAAAGAGTGTGGCCGAACACCAGGCTATAGATTCGTGTTTTGTTCTCCCTACCACACGAACCTGCGGGGGAAGAGTCGGGTTGCCGCCGTCCCTCCCACACTCTAAGACAGCCCATATATGTCCTGGTTCTCTAACCCTGGGGAAAAAGTTATAGGTCTTGCTGTTCAAAACCCTGGGCTAATCGAGGTGATAAAGCCCAACGGTCCCTAACAAAAGGGCTTGGAGCTTAGGACCTAGGAGTCAGAGAGATGGAAGCAGCTGGAGGGAAGACAAAGGGAGCAGGGGGGGGTGGCTTCCAGGAGAGGGGCTGCCCAGGCCCACCCTGCAACAGAAGCAGAGCCAGGGACCCAGGGGCACTCGGGTGGCCCTGGGCACTCTGCATGACACCAGCACTCAACAGCTTTGGCAGGCAGCCGGGAAGCCACCTCACAGCGTGACCACGGTGGACAGCGCGGCAGAGCCCACTCCCCTTCCAGCTGCCACGCAAGACTCAGGATGACCCTGAGAGCCTGGGGAGGACAGAGACCCCGAAACACGCCCCCAGGGTGGACTTCCTGGCAGCCATGCGGGGGAGGCTCGAGCAGCTGCAATGACATCGAGAGAAGTAAAGGGAGCGGCCGCTCCTTGCGCACAAGGCTCCGGAACCAAATCCAGACCCACTGAGCCACGCTCTTCCTGTCGCTCACGGGGTGTTGGGTGAAGCAGGAAGCTCGGGAGCACGGCCATCTAAACACAAGGGGCCAGGAGGAGGAAAACGTAACAATCCGTGGAATCTCCTCTAGAAAGTGTTTGACAGAGCCAGAACTTTTATCTAAAAGACCTGGCTTTTTCTAGGTTGTAATGTCTAGGAGAACCTACCAGGATGTGTGTAGAACTTTGCAAATCAATGTTAAAAGGTAAAACACTGAGATCTAACTGGCCCTTGGGTTTACTACAAACAAGCCTGTCTAAGCCTGGGCGCCCTGTGGGGAAGGTGCCACGACACACAGCGAGAAGGCCGTCCGGCCCCACCATTCGGACAAACCCCAGAGCCACAAGCACAGCCAGCAGGTCCTGAGGCCACGAAATGCACCTTCTAAACATCGGGTGGCTTTTGTCTCCTTTTTACATTTCAGTGAACTTTCCTATATATTCAATCCCACAGTCACGCTGCTATGTCACTTTTAATCTGTTTCTTGACAAATCATGGGGTTGTTTTCGCTGTTTAACAGAATTAAAGTCATTCAAAGAGCATGTATCACTTATCAAATGAGAAAAGGTCAGAATCTGTCTTTTTTAGAATATTATTAAAGAGTTAAAAAGTGAGTTTGATAATGTAATGTTAATAGTATCTTCATCTAAAATTTTAAAAAAGTCTTTTCCTTAGTCGTTTCTTTCATCATAGCCCATACAAAGGAACAAAAATGATTTTTTTAAGTTCTTATCAGAATTCACAAGGTTATAACTCACTTTGGGCTCACAATTTTTAAAAAACCAGTAACAAAGAGAAACAGCAGGCTGGAGGCAGGTCTGACTGTAAAAACGCTACATTCTTCTTGGCCTCATGGGAGGAAGGGATCGGGTGTAACGTTCTTATCGTTGTCTCTCTGTCTTAAAAGAAGCAAACTGAATCTCAACATTTAAATCAATAATACTGTAAATGCGTTAGGCAATTCAGGCCAAGTTCAGATTATAAAACCAGATTTTTAAATTACAAGATAATGAAATTGGCACTATATTTCATTTAGATTTATTATTGCTGAATGATACAGGCTGCCATGAAACCCCATTTAACTTCAAGGTCAAAATTAGAGATTTCTTCTTTCTTCAAAATAAAAATAAAAATAGCTTCAAGCGGTCTTAAATTACAAAAATTTGGAAATAGCAATCTTCAAATGCGAGGGATTTACTGCCCTAGGCCCTCCCAGATTTAAATTTCTTCAGACAAAGACAGACCGATGCCCATCCCCCAGACCCCCATTGTCACAGCACGGTTGTCAGTCTCGGTGCCCTTCCTAGTCACGGTCCATGTGCTGGGAACAGGGGCCTGACTACCCATGCCTCTTTGGAATCAATAACTAGGCAGACCATCAAGGGTCAGTAAACAGTCTTTGCTACAGCTGTGCTCACACGGAAACCCCGGAAACTCTCCCGGGGGAGGCTCAGCCCAAGGCCCGCACCTGCACCTGCTCAGGCCCCCTCTGCACCCGGTCCCCGCTTACCTGGCTTCCCAGCCACACTCAGAATTCTTGGGATAAGTAGTCCATCGGGTCCCCCATTATCCTGGCTGGGCGCTTCTAGAACCAGTCTCCTTCCCCTCCTCACATCCCCCCACCCTTTGTCCTGTGGCTCCTGAACTGGAACCCCCTTTAACGTCACAGGCCTCGGACCAGCTGAGAGCTGCGATTCCTTGACTGGACTTCGAATGACATCAGTCTTCCCCCACCCCTGCCCCCTAAGGCCCCCTTCTAGCCTCAGCTCCTACTGGCTTCTCGCAAAACAGCCCTTGCTCTGTGTCCTCACCAGGCAGCGCTCTGGGTGGGTGCATGCTGGGAGCCTGTCATTACTCATGGCCAAGGAATAAGGTCCCTTGTTTTATAAAGAACAGGACCCCAGGCTAACCCTAACAGCACAACAGCAAACTGTTAAAGTCCTGTCTAGACTCCCCTCCAGGAATGGTTCAGGGGCTTCCACATTAGCCCTGCGCCCACTTCACGCCCAGCAGTTAATGCGTTAGATGAACACCTTCCTGTTTCCTCCCTGGCTAAACCCCTGGCTCCCTCCTTTCACCCTCGCACTCTGGGCTCAGGAGACTCCTGGCAGCTGGGAGGAGCTCCGCATCTGTTCTGCGAACAGAACTGAGTCCCATGAAACCACGGTGAGGAAAGCCAGCACTCACATGCTTCTCTTCGGCGAGGTTGCCCCCATCTTCCTTGTCCTCCTTTTGTGTCTCATTTTCTCCACCTTCTTCAGCCGCCTCTGTTCCCTGGTCATGAAGGAAACCCACTGTGTCACCCGCCTGAGATAAGCTTCCAAGGAAACTCCAGGCCACAGACGCTGTGGCTTCCTTATGAGGATGAGCACCGTATAAACAAAGCAAACGAAGACCTCTTGTTTATTAGGTCACTTAGCTACTCGAGATGTGACTGTCAGCCTCTGTCATCTCCTGGCACACATAAACTAATTAACACAATTCTCGGGCACAACAGAAAATATAGATTTTTTTGCCAATCTGATTTTTAAAATTAGGTATAATTTTGATTTATTCACACCAGATGGCTATTGTTGTGTTGGCTGTTGTCATTTTTCTTTTTGGCAATCTAAGGGAAAAGAAGTCAGTGCCCCTGACCAAATAGTTTTAAAAATCCTTGCATCCCACAGTGTGCCACGGTTGAAAATTGCTGTCCTAGAGCATAGGATCACCACCCATCGAAACCACTGGTTGGAGCTCTTGGTGAAATTCAACAGATACAATTCACGAGCCCAGTAGAGTAATAAACTGTCAAATGAGGAGTTTCAGTTTACCCATCTAAGGCTTGTGAAGGGAATGTCAAAGGATTCAATATTTAGGCAATATTCATTTTCTGTTATTCCTGAAGGGAGGCTTTATAATTTTAGAGATTTAAAAAGATTAAAGAGATGATAGATAGATAGATAGATAGATAGATAGATAGATAGATAGATAGATAGAGTGAGTGAGTGAGTGAGCTGATGGATGGATGGGGAAAAGGGAGAGAGAGGGGAAAGATCGATAGGGGGATAGGTGGGTGGGTGGATGGATAATAAGACAGAATGATAGACAGATGATAGGTGAGGTGGACAGGCAGACATAGATATGGAAAGATTAGGACTAAGTTGACGTTCTACGGAAACTGGTCTGCGGAAAGATGGTTTCACATACCAGCTCTTACCTCTGCAGGGCTCTGTGCCTCTCCCACAACATCGCCATTGGGAAGGGAAGATTCTTCCTCAGGCGGCTTTGTCACCTGTGTCACACAAATTGAAAATGCGTGAGAATATTTTTGAGGATAATAGCTTGCATTGTAACATCATTTACCTTTCCAAGTTACTTTGTTTTTATCCCTCATTTTATCCTCACAACACTGTGACCTCAGTGAGTACGGCAGTCACTACCACTTACACCACAGAAACAAGAAAATAAAGGCAGAACATGTCAGTTACACGTCAGGGGCAGGGCCAGGTCTAGATATCCTACCTTACGCTCTTTTTGACTAATCCAGCTACATACCGGCGTTAGGGTATGAAACAATCTTTTGTTTATTATTTGATGATTTGTACTATCAGTTTTATTGTCACTTGAATATGAAATTATTTTAAATGGTATATATTTGTTTCTCATGTTTTTATGATGTTTCCCTTTCAGACTGTAATTCTGAATATAAGATAAGCACATAGTCTGTTCAAACATCCCTTTTTGAAATGTATGGTTTTCTGTGACCAAATGTGTGACAGCTTTGGAAACTACTTAATAAGTAAAAAAAAGAAAATACATTCTATTAAATCTATCTAATATATTATTATTCTTGTGTGTATATATGTATATCCTATACATATCTACTAAATTAAGTTTGTTCATTGTATTTATGTATATGTTTAAAATAGCGCTTGATACCATTTTTTATTACATAATACCCTTTTCCTGGTTAACGTTTTGGCTTTGAATTCCTCTTCGTCTGATATTATTAACTCTACTCCAGCTTTCTTTTTGTCTCCATAGGCCTGTTGTATTCTCATCCTTTACTATCAATTTTTATTTGAATGACTCCTTTACTGGGCTCTTATAGATAATATATGGCTCAGTCCTTGTAAAAACCCAATCTCACTGACAACACCAATTCCAGAACAGCCAGGTCATCTCCTCTAGGACCCAGTCCTCCAACCTATGGTGACTCTAAACCCTGGATAAAATATTTTTTAATTAGAATGTTTTAAAACACTTTAAAAAAGGAAGAATGGGGAGAATGAACCAACGCAAGAAGATTCTAGAAGGAGCTGACATTTAAAAGAGGAGGATGATTTGCACACCCATGTTCATATTTTTCACAACAGCCAAGGAGTGAAACAATGCAAAGGCCATCAAAGGCTGAATGGAAAAGCACAGTATGGCATCTCCATATGATGGGAAGTATCTAATTTGAGGACCAGAGAGAAACAAGATATTTTTTAAATGAAGGAAGCTTCAGGTAAGTATGGAATAATATCAAAAGGTTTAGCAAATGCGTAATTAGAGGGCCTGAAGGAGAGGTGACGAGGCCCCCAGCCATACACAGTATCCTTACAATGTAAATGCTCACAGATGTCCTTTTTCACATGTCCCCTCCCACACTCCTAGATTTTTCTGGGATAGTTTAAAAATCTTAATTTCACTATTATTACTATGTTTTCCTTTTGAAAGTGGTTCTCAGCATAAGTAGCATTTTCAATTCACCAGGGAGCTCCACACAGGTACCCCAGAGTTCATGGCTTCCTTGAGTGTAGAGGCAGCCCTTTCATTGTACGGCGTTAACAGCTCCCCAGGGGGTTCCGATGGCCATGCAGGGTGGAGGCTGGCTGCCAGCCCCTCCTTCCCCCTGTTCCTCCTGGGAAAGAGCAGCTCCCGGGGCCCGCCCACCCAGCTCACGCTCACGCTCCGCCCAGGCGGTGGGCACCTCTGCTGCCCACTGCCCGCTGCTGGGGCAGAGGGCGGCGCGGAGGTGAGGGAGGAGGTTCCACCTGCCAGGCTGCTCCCAACCAACCAAGGCCCAGAGCCTGCACCTGCCGCTGGAATACGCCTCTTTGGGGTGTGGGGAGCCCTGAGAGCCACGCCCACCTCTGGCAGATTCTGGCCTTGCTCTCCTTGCAACCAACCGTTTTCACTTCCATCTTTCAGGGATTCTTCTCTAGTTTCCGGTCCTGGGGCAGCACCCTCTCCGGTTTCCCTGCAATCCAGCGAGGAGGGTCTACAGGGGGCGGAGTCAGCGCCAGCTCCACCTGCAAGGCCCTCCGGGATCTCTTTATTTGTTCTTTCTGGAACTCCTGTTATTCACATATCAGGTCTCCTGTGTTGGACTTCCAGACTCTTGACTTTCCCCCGTGATTCCGATTTCCCTGTGTTTTCGTTCATGTTCGAGGTATTTCCCCTGCCGATCTTGAACGACAAGGTGGGTCTCGATGGCGTCTGTGTTGTTGTTCATCTTGCAGTCGTAAATGAGGAAACTCCAGAACATCTGTTCTGCTCCAAATTCATGTCATTTACAGATCCCTCCCCTGTGTCTCCCAGCCTCCCTCTGCTCCCTCCCTTCAGGCTCCTTCATTTGAAGGCACCCAAATCACCTGTTCAGTCTGGTCTTCCTCCTTCAGGTGACCGGCTCATGCTGCCCTGGCTGAAATAGCTCTGCCACCACTCAGAACTGCTTCCAAGGGAAGCCCACCAATCATACCAGAAAACGAGTATCGCCACTTTTAATCACACATCATTTGGGGCCGAAAACTGTTTTACCCAGGTACACTATCTATGTCTTAGTCACCAGTCTTGGAGGAGGCCTCAGAGAGAATCCATCTTCTGCTAGAGGATACGGCCAAGACTCTAACAAGATCTGAAGCCTGTTAGGAGCAATGTCAATATTGCTGTTGTGATGTCAGAACTTCCTGAGGGGGCTCCCACGAGGACAGCACACGCTGGGACACACAGGTGCTGACACTGAATAGTCAAGCCCAGCAGCATTCTGTGAATATCAGGCTCCGACCCTGTCATGGCTGAACTCATCTCCTACCAGTTTGGGGAAACTGTCTCTGCAGATATAACCGGGTCGTTTCCATTGGTATCTTAACAATAGTCCCCTAAAATAAAAAGACACTGATCCTAGTGCTTCATTGCCTGACATGTGACAATGATGGAACAGGTTATCAATCATAACTTCAGTTACTTGCTTTAAATATTAACTTGGTCATGACTTGACTTCTTTCATTTCAATCTATCCAAAAAATGATGTGCAATCAAAAGTTTCAATACTCATTTTCTGGTACAATTAGTGGGCTCTCGTGGAAAGAAATTTTGAGTAATGGCAAAACTAGTTCAATAAGTGCAGTATGTTCTAAGACAGTAGTTTTCATTTGGGGATTCCTGTCACCTACTCATATAGTTTTTGTAATATCTGTGTCTAGCACCTACTCCAACCCTGCTGAATCTCGTTACTTGATAGTCTTGATATATCCCTACCATTTATGGTAAGAATATGCTCAGCATTCACAATACACTGCATGGTACATATGCTTGACATATTTGCAATACAGCATGTCTCTAGATAATTATGTTATATCAACATTTTTCCTGTATTCATCCTTTGTTTAAAGTTTTTATTTATTTATTTATTTATTTATAGACAGAGGGGAAGGGAAGGAGAAAGGAAGAGAAGCATCAATGTGGGGTTGCCACCCGCATGCCCCGTCCTGGGGACCTGGCCCATAACCCAGGTATGTGCCCTGACTGGGAATCGAACCAGCAATCCTCTGGTTTGCAGGCCAGCACTCAATCCGCTGAGCCGCACCAGCCAGGGCTATTCATACATTTTTACAAATAAGATATAATGTTTGCTGTCTTCTTTGAAAATAGCCTTTGTGATTCTGTTTGTAGGTATTTTATCTAACACTGTCTTGGATTAACTTTTATTTTGTTTTGCACACCATAGAAACCACCAAGTTTTCTTGTCAGGTGCATTATTCTTGTTGTAACTTTCATCAAGCCTTTCACATCTGAAATTATCAGTGATAAACTAACCACAGTCATCAGAGGTCTTTGGCCATCCACAGATACTCTTCTCAGCTTGTGTTACTTTGATGCTTCCCTAGAGGCTTCTGTAGCCTCAGAACTTTCCAGAACTGTGGCCAAGGGGCAGATGGGTTCATGAGACTACTAACGCCAGACCCAGGGGAACAAGAATTACGTGCCCAGGAATAAATGAATCTATGAGGGAGGATGGTAGTTTTTGTTTTGCAATATTGTTGATGTTATCTTAATGTTCTATTTTTTTAAATATTTTATTTATTTATTTATTTTTAGAGTGGGTAAGGGAGGGATAAAGAGAGAGAGGGAAACATCAATGTGTGGTTGCCTCTCATGTGCCCTCTCCTGAAGACCTGGCCTGCAACCCAGGCACATGCCCTGACTGAGAATCAAACTGGCGACCTTTAGTTGGCAGGCCAGCACTCAATCCCCTGAGCCGCACCAGCCAGGGTTTAATGGTCTATATTCTGGATAGATAAGGAATCCTTCTGTCTCTCCTCTTAAGCTTCTTACAAATCATAACAATGTGGTAGACTCTACTTTTGTAAGTTGAAAGGAAATGTTGGTAAATGATATTCTCTCTGCCTGACCCCTCCAGACGTTAAAAATTCTTGAATCTCTTTATGGCAACATAGTTATTTGCCTAGGCTCCATAAGAATCTGTGCTCCTTATTACCAGGGCATAATTGGAAACTGGTTACTCAACCGAGGCCTCCACTGGAGTGTGGGATTAAGAACAATGCTCATTTAATCAGGTGTGACCACATGCTTATACAGAACGAGGGCGGAGATTATGGAGATGAAGCGTATTTACAAAGCCCTCGTGGGAAACCTGGCCTGGCACTTGGCCTGGCACAGCCTGCCCAAGACAAGAAAAGCCTCCTAAAAGCAGTAATGCTCCTTACGGTGCTCATTTTATAAGTGTACGTTTATTTCTACGTAATTGTCAAGAGTGTCTATTTTTAGCCTCAGAGAGATTAATTTCCTCGCTGACTTCTCCACAATGTTGTTTACTACAAAAAGACACTGTGACAAATAATATCGTCTCCATCAATCAAGTGTCTGTCTTCCCAAAGGATAGTTGAAGGACTTTCCCCATGTGCACACATAAACACCTATAAACCCAAGCAACGCTGACAACACCAAAGGTCTTAGAAAGGCCCCATCAGCAAGTCTTACCACTTCTCCCGCCGAAACAGACCCCAGATCACCCACTTCTGCGCGGTTCTACCCCCAGCACCCCAGTCCAAGCCGCCGCCTCTCATCTGAACAACCATCACAGCTTGTGCCTCTTCGATCCATTCATCTCACAGTAGCCAAAATGAGTTTTGAAGAAGTAAGGTTCCTTTACCCCTCTGCTCAAAATGCTTACGGTGTCTCCATGGCCCCAAAGACAGGATCCAGGGCGCCACCCACCTGCCCCCGCTGTCTCCCTGGGCGCTGCCCCAGCGTGCAGGCCTCAACGCAGGCCTTAGGGCTCTCCAAGCCCTCTCCTGCCTCAGGGCCTTCCCACTGGCTCTTCCCTTTGCCGGCAACACTGTTCCCTCCACTCTCCAAGATGCAAGTGTCTGAGTGTCTCCACCAAGGAATGGACCTTACTACGAAGGCACCACCACTTCACTGTAATAACTCAGTCAACGTGACCCCGTTACCAAGTCCTACACCAAACTGTATCACCAAACAAAAAAAGACACAATTGCATGTAATAGCATTTAGCACTTGTTTTAAACTGTTTATAAAGTATATGAAATAGGTTGCATTTAAGTTGACCACAGCCAGCAAGGCACTTCAAAGGAAAGGTTTTTGCCTCTTCTATCCCGTTAACCAACTGTGGAGTCTGTATGTTGCCATTTGGGGAAGGCGTCAGTGCGAGGCCCGCAGGTGTTAGCCGAAGCCCTAGGACACCTCAGCGTCATTACCTGAAGACTGCTGGCATGAAACACACACGCCTCTGAGTCAAGCGCTTCCCTACAAGGTCGATTTGAGTTGTTTCTCCTACAGTGAGAATTGATTTGGGCTCAGGCACCACATCCCTCTTTAGAAATGAAGCTGGGTACAACAAACAAGCAAGCAGATGAATTAAGAAATCGATGAATCAAACAAATGTGTGCTTGCCTTGTATCTACAGAGAGTCCTGCATGGGATTGTCGACAGGTAAGGAAAGCAGTGGCCATTGCATTGCAGTGGGCGATCATCATTGGACGAATTCATGATATGAACTTTATTAGTACAATTTTTTTATGTCATAGACATAATTATACATCATCAAAGATGAAGCCGCACAGGTGGGGAGGGCGGGGGACTAATGAAATTTATCTTGTTCTTGAGTCTAGATTTTATTTTTCCCTCTTTATCAGACTAAAAAAGCAGAGTTTAATTTATCTTAAATAGAAAGATTAAAGTAGGAGGTATTATCATTATAAAATTAACTAATATAAGCTATATGAGAAGTCAATTCATAACAAAATTTCATAAACACAACCTGGGAACTCATGTTTTTACATATTTAATTAGCATACTTGAGATTATTGAATGCAACAATATTTCTTTTTTTTAAGATTTTATTTATTTTTAGACAGAGGGGAAGGGAAGGAGAAAGAGAGGAAGAAAAACATTGATGTGTGATTGCCTCTCACGCGCCGCTTACTGGGGACCTGGCCCGCAACCAGGCACATACCCTGACTGGGAATCGAACCATCAACCCTTTGGTTCACAGGCCAGCACTCAATGCATTGAGCCACACCAGCCAGGATTGATATTTCTTTTTAAAAGGTATTGTGAAACTTTCATTTATTTTATTTTATTTTTATTTTTATTGTATAACAAAGTATAATTAAGCAAAAATATGAAAAGTATTGTTTTAGAACATGTGTTACTAAAAACTTTGCATTATTTTTATGCATAAGAGTTCATCAGAATAAATGTATTATTAAAACCAGAGAGGGGAATGAAAGGGTAAAGCCAGCCGCGTTTGCTATTGTGGCGCCATCTGCTGAGGAGGCCAGTGGCCTTGTTAAACGTGGCTCCCATTTTACCCTTCTGAGCTTGCCCCCAGGGCTGGAAATTACTGGAAAGCAAGAACAGAATGAACCGCTCCCTACAGCCACAGGCAGAAGGTAACACTGGAACAAACTGCAGCCTCGTGTTACAGTGTCCCCAACAGCCCAGGGAACACACGACAGCAACCCCCGCCCTTTCAATCCCATTATAATCCAGTACGAGGCAAAGCCCCAACCCGTTAACGCCGGTGTATCTCTCCACACCATCCCCTCCCCTTTCTCAGAGAGTGAATAAAAACTTTATTCTCTAAGGAAAAAAAAAGGAATAGTAAAATCACGTTAATTCAAATGTCATCCTTTATTAAACAGACTTGGATGCCGATTTCTGTCTTATCACGACATGCATCGGGCCCCAGTGGGGCAGTAAACCTACCTTTGAGCCCGGCGGGGGAGCCAAACCCAGGAACGAATAAATAATATTCTCTTCTTTTGCAGAGAAGAAAGAGTCAAAATCCTTGAAGCAAAGAAAAAGAATGTTTAAACCCATTGCACATTCGTGAGCCAGGATAGTCATGTGAGTTGATCTCTTTTTTATTAGTCATTAATTTAGGCTATGCCAGTTTGCTCTGCCAAAGATGACTCATCTCTGAAGTTAAGGAATGTGTGAACTTTACATTTGTTTTTACACACTTTCATATGCCTGCTCCAGTGCAGTGAGAATTCACTCACACACGCACAAATTGTTCATGCTCAGGAAGTGCTGACGACACCCGGGTAGGTATACACAATCAAAGGCTTCTCCGAGAGTTTCACAGCCTTAGCTCCTTTCCTTACCAGTCGGCCCCCGGGCCTGGAGCTGATCCGCAGAGACTGAAACAGCACGGGCTTTCTCTGCTGTGATTGCAGTAGCTTCCGAGGGCCCAGACTCATCTCGGCCCTTCGGATACCAGGAGCCACAAGATCATGGAGGGCTCAGAGCAGAGGCTGTTTCGGCAAAATGGGGGGAACTGTGATCTAAAACCAAGCAGTCAATTGAAACCTGAGGCTTAGGGAAGCTCCACCCCGACCTCAGGCCCCAGCCAGGGGTCAGTTCTTCACTGGGGGTCCAGCCCTAAACCAACTCTCCAGTAGTGTAGTTGTTAACAGCGGAGAAGAGTTCCATTTTTTTTTTTAATCATTAAAACACAAAAGATCTTCCCCCAGACTACTTTACTACTGCCAATCTTTGTCACCAAGGCTGTGATGCAGTTGCAACAGTGTCTCAGGAAGGCTCACACAGAAACAGGAGCCTGTGTGGCCTTGCCTGAGCCAGACAACACTCAAACCAGCTCAGTTGTGTTACTGCGGACCCTATTCTTGGGCGTGTCAAGAAACTTAAAACCAAATACGGGCCACTTATAGTGCGGCATCTGAAAAGTGACCTAGAAGGCTTCAGACAACCCCTAAGTTAACTTCCAATTCTCAGGTTCTCAAGTCCTTTGAGTTTTTAAATGTTCCTTTTCAAAAATTGGATTTACTAAATAGAATCTGTAAACTCCGAAGAAGAAGTGATTTTATGGTGAAATGAACAATGTAATGTATCCAATAAAACCACTGTTGTAATCAGAACGTCCAGAACACTTTTTAAACTACTTAGCTACATTTACCCACTTCTATCTTGCATCCATAGTAAGGCTTGATGTCCGCAAATCATCCTTTATGAGAGCTGACCTCGTGTCTTTGTGGTGCACGTGTGTCCACGACCAGGTTGATTAGAATCCAGCTAAAGGCATATTTTGTTTGAACAAGCACCCTCAGTTTCAAATTAAAATAAGCAACCTAAAATGATCCCAAGAACTTCTGAATCATCATTTTATTGTTTCCATCATGTTGTAAATCTCAAATATTTCTTATTCACAATGGATCTACCATCCAGATATTGGTTCGTAGAAAAAGGTCATGACCTGAAAAATGTAAACAACTTCAAATGCTGCCTCAAAATTAACCTGCTTTAAACAATTTCTGAGAAACACACATGCAAGAAGAATCTTCCGCCCTGGCTGGTGTGGCTCAGTGGATTGAGAGCCAGTCGGCGAACCAAAGGGTCATCAGTTCGATTCTCGGTCAGGGCACATGCCTGGGTTGCGGGCCAGGTCCCCAGTAGGGGGCACACAAGAGGCAACCACACATCGATGTTTCTCTCCCTCTCTATCTCCCTCCCTTCCCCTCTGTCTAAAAATAAATAAATAAAATCCTTTTAGAAAAGAAGAAGAAGAAGTTTCCAAGAAACCAAAAGCTCACCCCGCAATACTGTTCCTCATTGAAGATCTGGGGAGGCAAAGGGATCCCGTTTTGAGGTTTTTTCTCTCCCGGAACATTCTCTCTCATCCACCGCCGGTTGTCTTCGTCTCCAGCTATATCTAATTCCTTGAAATCGATTTTGTTAGCTTCCAGAAAGCCCACTACTTCCTGCTGTTTTTTCCTAATCTGGTCAAAAGAAGAGAAAGGTAATTTTTAGACTGGTTTTTTAAAATGTTTTTGCTTACATTTACATAAATTAAATCCTTTCTCCAACTATACCATACAACACAAATAATTTTGCCAAGTATTTACACAAAGAAAACAAAATCACACCTCTCCGTTATAAAAAAAATAAGCAGAGTGATTACTTAAATTCTGAAATTTTAATCTCAACAATGTTTAAATCATGATATAACCAACTCAGGAAGACAAGGCATGTCCTCATCATAGCTTTTGTGCGAGGTCTTCAAAGTCCTTTTCTCTGCTCAGCTTAAATGCCAAAAAGTAAATAAGAACTGGTTAAGAAGAAAAATGATGATTGGGAGAAGAGAAAGAAGGAAAGAGAGAAAAGGCAATTGACTATGAAACTCAAGTACTAAGTATATCCACACTAAAATGCACTCAGTCACAGCTATGAAAATAGGAACATGAGTCACGCTGCACAAAGTAGTTCAGTAATGCAGGAAACTGAAAAACCCCCATGGAGGTTATTGTCAGCGGAGGAAAGACAGAGAAAGAATTGGGGGAAGCACGTAGCCGGTTCTCCCGGCTTCCACGAGAGTGCCGCAGGGAAACAGCTCTGTCCTCCCAGAGATTTCTCCTTTCCCTGCTCACGCTCAGCTCTGAAGGCCCCGCCTTTTCTCAGCCCGGGGTTCCTGTGAGTGACGGTATCTGCCAACGGCCACATCTCATGAAAGCGGCCATCTTTAAAGTTTAGAACTCCTTTCCAGAAAGAATTACAACAATTTTCTCTCTTCAGTCAAAGAACTCATTCCCGGAGATGCGCGAGGCCCCATTTTCCAAACACTGGTAAACAAGTCGCAGCAGTCTCTGGACCACAGACTTTAACAACCTCTAAGAGAAATTTCCAGAGTGATCAACTGAATGATCAAACAATACTTACTTATCAGCTCTCTACTCTGCACAAGACATTCATCTGAAGATGCCAAGCTCTTCATCTGAATAGATTTATAAGCCATTTATTTGGGTTAAAAAACTGTAAAGAACTCATTTACACAAATTAGATATATAACAAGCTAAAAATAATAAAGAAGCAAAATATGGTCTTTTTTCTTAAACTAAGATTAAAATTACAAATGAGTATTTCACATGAATATATCCAGATCTTAATTTTTTAAGTCTTCTGATTATTGTCTAATGATGAAATCAAGACATTAAAAATGGTTTTAAACCCAATTCCTTCCATAAAGATTAGTATGCAAGAAAAATTATTTTATTCATTTTTGCCAGTGAATGATTCTATCAATGACCTCAGTATAGAGTGTTTCTTTTTTTCTTTTTTTTTCCTTTGAGGCATCTTATTTGCATGTGTGTATTACATCCCTGGAGAAAGGACCCCAGGATTCCCCCTCCTGTGTGTGTTTCCGCCTGGCTCATGGTGCGCCATATGGCAGCACAGAAAGAAGGCAGAAAGGGCTCTTTCTTAATTAGAGGAAAACCAAGGCGCGCATGGGTGCTTAAGCTCTGGACTCAAATCACCACCAAAAATGAATTCCAGCCCTGGCTGGTGCGGCTCAAGTGGATTGAACGCCAGCCTGCGAACCAAAGGGTCTCAGGTTTGATTCCCAGTCAGGGCACAGGCCTGGGTTGCAGGCCAGGTTCTCAGTTGGGGGAGTATGAGAGGTAACCACACAAAAATGAATTCCATATAATTTGGTTTTGGTGGTGACTTGACTGTATATGTTATGTTAATTGCAAATATAATATAAACTAATATTAATTTTGTAATATAAAGTAAATTATACACAAATTACATATACATATATAAATGGTAATTGCACATTTACTTTTAATTAACATTTGTACCACCCACATAACAAGGATTTGCAAATAAAAACATTAGATTAATAAATTAAAGGTGGTTGTTAGCCATAATACAACACTTAAAATCAGTAAGGGTTGTGCCAAGGTATGTAGTTCAGTTTGGGGCAAGTGTGGGCAAAAAAATACAAATAAAAGTCTTCCAGAATGATATGGAATGATGGAATTTTCCTTGAGCTTCTGGCAACAGCATTCTTGCACTTTCCTGAGTGTCCCATCTGTCAGAACCACAGGAGCATCTGCATGTTTCCCCACCCGTGTGCCCGCCCCCGAGGCTGTGCTGGGGGAGACCTGGGTCTTCTGCCCTCCTCCAGGAAACTGGACTCCAGATCCCACAGCTTCACGGCTCAATTTCTGAACATTACAAAAATCCCAACAGACCTGATGACAGGTTGTTGGACTCAATGACTATCTTACTTAATTATGTTTTCCCTACATACCCTCCAACCTGTCCAAAATTATTGGCGCCACTTTATAAATTACTTATTCCTTTTGATATTTTCAGAGACAACTTTGCTATTTTGAAGAGTAGAAGTGTTTTCATGTTAGGCAGGTGTACCTTTGATTAAATATTCAGAAGGCAACATCCTCTACTCTGTCCAAAGCCCTGTCTCCCTTCCTTCTCAAATACCCCCGGGAGTCAAATCAACCTGGCCAAGGGCCACTGTCACCTGTCCAACATCACTGCCGTCTCTATTAGTCATCCCTCGGGACTCGAGGAGGGATGATAAAAGGGACTCCATTTCGTCCCATGGTTTCTGAATGCATGGGAAACCTCCCCAGTCCTGACAGGTTTCTTCTGTGAGAAAGTCAGATAGATGGAGAAGATGAGAGGGAAGACCTGTTTACTGTTACGTCTCACAGGACAAGCAATTGCATCTTCAGGAAGTCAGTGATTGCTGGGTGTGTGACATTGTGTAAAATGCTATTCTCAGCTCCTCACCCCAAGAAAGAGGAGAAAAGTTAAATGTGCCCCTCTGTACTTCCCACACACCAATAACTTAGATGGGGCCAAAGGTATAGGCCTTTGGCTGTGGGAGCCCTTGACCTTGAGCCCTTCCAGGGCTGGAGGGGGCTCTGAGGATGAGGCCAGAGGAGGGGAGAGGGGAGCAGGGAGTGCAGGAGCTCACTGGGCTGGCATGGCTGGCTTCGCCCACACCCTGCTGCCCGCCCTGAGCAGGGAGGCTCTCCCTTGCCCCTCTGCCCTTGATAGGTCTCTGTTGAAGAAGCTTCCCCGGAGCCTCGGTCAGAGCACAGCTCCTCCCCACGTGTTCTCCTGAGCTGACCTCCAGGAACAAGATCTCAGCTCCCAGGGGGCATCTCCTCTTCATGGCTTCAAGGGGAGGGGCATGCACAGCCCTCCGAGAAGTTCTCACCAGACATACCCCCCCTCCACTTTCCCCCCTCCAGGGCGCCATGGCCAATGGCGGTCCCGGGAAGGTGCAGCCCCTCTTGAGGATCTAGGGGTCCTTGGGGGTCTATGTCATTTAGAGGCTTTGGGCTGCAGCGTTGGCTCAGAGAGCTTCCTATCCTGTCACCTTTACTCTGACCGGAGTATTGTTCTCTGTCCTGAAGTCACCCGGCCACTGTCAGTCACACTGTTGTGTCAGAGTGATCTTTGGGACACTCGCCTGTTTATTGTCTTGTACAGTGAGGAGACTTTCCAACCGAGGTCACTGTAGTGTAGTAAAAAGCTCACTGTACTTGAGTGAGAGGTCACCTGCATTTCTACGCTGGCTCAGAAGGATGCTGTCCGAGCAGGTGCTCTGCTCGCCAGCCACCTCCTCTGCAGAAGGGACAGAGCGCGCCCTCCTCATGGGTCCTGCTGAGAACCCAGGAAGGGGATGTGTGGAAAAGATGCTGCACCCCAAGGTGAGCACCTGCTCCGTCAGACACCCAGCAGCAAGCCCACCTATGTCATTTACGTGTCTTGATCGCCATGCCGGCTATGTACTCTGATCCCCATTGTATAATAACAAAGCTCAGGTGCCAGTGAATGAAACAAGTTTCCAAGGCTTATACCCAGATCCATTGAATTCAAGAGCCACGTTTTCCCACTGTGTTTACACTCACTCAAGGCTGGAGAGAGAGCTGAGGAACCCAGGAGCCACCGTGAGGGTCTGTCCCAAAGACTGCGGTCCTGGGGCTGTGCGTGTTGGAATCGATGAGGACTATCCTCTCTCCCTTTGTCCCCCAGCCCGCTGTGACAGTGGCCTTCAGGAAGAGAGGAGGGTCACACAAGAGACACAGGCCTTCTCCCGGTGCCACGGTCTCTTCGCCCAAACCCCTCTGTGAAAACCCCACTTCAACGTCAACTGTTAAGGTAGAGCTGTAATACTTGTGTATATGTGTAATCCCTCATAAAGAGATCACAATTTGATTTTTCCTTTTACGTGTATTTCACTCATCCGACAAAGGCATGCTGCCTTTGCCGACTAGGTCATGGGCGAGAATTCGTTTTTAAAGTATGCAGGCTAAAGAAGTCAGGAGTAAAGACCAACACCACACGCACAGCCGGAGTCCTGGCATCTGCCCTGAGGTTCTCCTACAAAGAAGCTTCCAGAAAAAATGGCCCCACCCAGGAAAAATCATTTGCACTGACAACGCAGAAATAATCCATTCTTGTTCTTTAGGTAGGACCGAAGCTCTTCCATTTATGTGGCTTGGGACAATGCTTATGAAAAATAAGCATCATAGACTCAGATCTACTAATGTTAACTAATAATTATAATACAACTACAATAATATTGATTAATATTAACTAATAATTATAACTAATAGTTATAACAATTATAATATTAACTAACCCGAGCTAATACTTAGGACATTAACTAATAATTATCACATTTATGAATCACTGAGTAAGCACCTGACACCTCGCCAGGCACCCTGGCATGTCTTTTCCTAAGTCGTCCTGGCAACCTGTCAGGTGACTATCATTTGCATCCTCATTTCACAGAGAAGGACATTGAGGCTTGGCAAGGTGCAATAGCTTTTTCAAGGTCACACGGTTCCATGTGGCACGAAAACATTCACTTAGGGCACCAGAATTAACTTGGCTTTCCAAGATCCTGGAGTGAACGGTAGCCCTCCAGACGCTCCGAGGCTAAAACAAATCAAGCTCAAACTCCAGGACTCAAGTAATCCTTTAAAAATCCATTACTGTATTCACTGTCCCCAGAAGGATGCACGGGCCCTTCCGACCTGACCTACAGGATCTGCAGAAGACTGGCCGGTCAGTGGTAAAGCTCCCGGCGATGAACATCAACAGCACCTTTAAAGCCCACTACAACCACTTTCCTCAAAAATTATTTTTATCGAAACAATCCAAAAATGTGTGCTCATCGCAACACATTTCTGAGGTCCTCAACGATCGCGAAATATTTTGCAGACTTTTACCTTTGGGAATTTTCCTCATCTTTTTCTGTTAAAAGGTGTTCTAGAAACCCCTAGCCGCTTCCTGACCAGCAGGGCTCAGAGCGGAATCCCAGGCTCCCTTCTCGCGTTTCCCTCTCCCCCTCCCAGGACCCCGTGTGAATTGGGAATTGGGGGTGGGGGCGCTCAATAGCTGCCGCTGGGACGGCTCCCGCCCGCCAGCGGCTCACCTAGGCTGTCATGCCTGACTCAGTGACTGCTGAAACCCTAGCTGTCACCCGAGCCGGCCCAGGGCCTGGATATAAAAGGAAACAGCCCCCTCACTGGTCTCCAGCTCTCAGGATTAATTAAACTCCCTTCTCGCCACAGCCTCCCCAACTCCTGCTAAAATGCGGGTCCAAACGTCAGCACCAAAGCCTCGATCAGCCCTCCACCACCCCCGCCTCTGAAGGCGGGTCTCTGTGCCCAGGATGAAGGCTGGGGTTGGACGCGCGATGGGTGATTCCCAGCCCGCAAGGAAGCCAGACAAAGCGCTGCTTTGGGGGGCGGCTTCAAGCGCCTATTTTCGGTCCGAATGGATTCCTGGAGCATTTAAAACTGTGGCCTTAGGGATGTTTGTTCTTGTCACTGTGACATCATTTTCCTCAAATAATAGTATTACACTTTTGGTACGGTTACACCGCATACACAAGTAATTACACCCGGAGTCATTTTAGTCTTCTAGCTCCACATACTGTTAAACAATGTGTCGTTTCTTTGCAACTTTTATCTAAGTCCTGCAGAATGAATGGCAAAAGCACTCCAAAAAAAAAAAAAAAAAGCCTTTGATCCCGTAAGAGATGCAACACCACAGGACACAGATCGCTTGCTAAGAACTGTAGAATCAAACATGCCCCCTTCCTCCTGTCTCCTTTCACACCCCACTTCCGCACGTTATACGCCCCCTCAACGCCGTGAAAACACGCGGAAAGCAAGGGCACGCAGGCTCGCTGCAGAGGCACCGTGTACTTACACTCTCCTCCAGGAGGCATTTAAAGCCAGTGCTGGGCCACCCCCGCTCCCTTCCGAGAACACAGTCTAGGAAAACAGTCTAGGACGCAAGCCCACGCATTCCGTCAGACACCTACCGCTATGGACCCAGAAGATGTGGCAACAAACACTTTGATAACCATTTTGAGAGTCGGGCAGGGGACTCCCCCCAACACACCCCTGTGCAGGCACGCGGCGCCAGACAAATCCTGACAGCGACACAGCCCAGCGGGCGCCAGGCGGGGCTGGCGCGGCCCAGCGCTCCTCTGAGCTCCTGCCCCGCCTGCTCCAACTTAAGATCGGCCTCTCCCGGGAGCGGCCCAGGCATCTTGGGCTGTCCCTTCCATTGGCCCGGGAATATGTGGGAGCCTGTCCGGAAAACTTCTGATTGGCCGATAAAACAGTCCCTGGACCCTGTCCCTGACCACTTCAAATGCCCGACAACAGTCCCTAAAAGGCGAGGCTGCACCGCGCACCAATCAGAGCCCCGCGCAGAGATGCCTGCGGGAGGAGGGAGGGGGCGCTGCGGCGCGAGGCCACCGGGAGGAGGAGGCGCTCCGGGGGGCTGGGAAGGCGCCGCGCAAGCCAACCGCGCCTCGGAAAAGGCTGTGTTTGCAGGCTTCTGGCAAACAACGGGCAGGGTCGGAAGAGCCACCAAGGCCTTTAAAATAAATGAATGAATGAATGAATGAATGAATGAATAGCTGCTTCCTTCCTTTAAAATTTTCTGGCAGACTAAAAAGCAAACCAGCGAACTGTCGTACAATAGATTCCTTTACGAGTGGCCTGTGTCCACGTGCTCATTGACCACCTGTTTCCGTTTAAAAAACAGAAACTGACAGGTCGCGGGTGGGTAGAGTTTCTCTGCCCCGCCCCCCCCCCCCAGGAGCCCCAGAGACTCGGCTGGCCCATCAGTGCAAGGCTGTCAACAAGCAAACTGCCTCGCTAGGGTGGGGAAGGGGGAGGAGGGGCAGTAAGTGATCTGTTTGTCACAGGCTCTATCCGTCTTATTTATACAGAGAATTTGAGTTATGTTCAAAGTTGGAGGAATTCAAGATCTAGGAAGAAGCCCAAAGGCAAGCCGCCAACCCTGCTGGTGGGTTTCCACATCAAGATCAAAGGCGTCAGGGGCAAAGGCCCCGTGGGGGATATCCAGTCCTCTTGGAAAACCGAGTCTCTTAGTTTTGAAGTCCCCTGCTCCTGGTGGAGCAGGTGGAGCACTGGCGTCCTGGCTGGGGGAGGGACGCCAGGCTTATGCCCGGCCCCTCCCCCAGTGTCCCAGAAGCCTGGAGGCCTGGTCACCTCCCACCCTGACAGGTGTCCCTGGACCGTAGCTCAAACTCATTTACATCAGGACGAGGGCCTGAGATGATTCCACCTGAGTGTAACTCAGAGCCTCAACAGGCCCAGGAACTACTCCCCAAAGGAGGCCCTGGGCGGCGTTGGCGAATGGTGCCCCAAGGTGACGCCGCTCGCGTCGTAAATTTTATTTTAAAGAAAACCACTGACAGGGTCAGGCCAGTTTCCCAACCCGCCGGACTGCTCAGGACTCGGTTATCCCGGCTCTCTCCCACCGCCCACAATAGACCTCTGACCCCAGCCCGTGGTCAGCGTGACCTTCCTGCGCCTGGAAACAGCCAGGCCCTTTACCAACCCACTGTCCCGACTCACATCCTGAAGCTCTGAGGCAACCGCCCAGAAGAACAAGAGACTACACCCTCCCTCATTCCCCCACAAACCCCTCACTTCTTCTTTTAAAAATCCCATTCTTGCCTCCCGGGGCCGCAGCCTGTCCAGACTCAGCCCGCCTGTAAGCGCAGCATCAAATGAAGGCACTCGGGTCCCATCCTCCGGCTCCTCCCGCCTCTCTCTCCCGCATGTCTAACACCCACCAGAGATCATAGGTCACTGTTGCTTTTTGTCTTTTCTGTATTTTCAAAATTTCTACAGTGAGCATATACAATTTTTGTCATATATTGATTCCTTGGTCTTAAAATTTGTCACATGAGCATGTTCTTTTTCTCCAGAAGTTATTTAAGAAAGTAATAAGCTATGGGTTCATCTTGACTTCGTAAATGAGTAACATAAACTATAGCTGGATACTCATGTGCCCTAGAGAGTGTACATTCCCTGACCATATAAGGCAAAACTGTCTTCAATAATGACACCACATCCATCCACACACCCTGGAAGAAATAAAGTTCCTGTTTGAAATAATAGCTAACAATTTTTAGGTGTTTGCCCCATGCCAGCCCTGCTCCAAGCGCTTTGCACGAACCACTCCCTTCACCTGCACAAACGCCCTAAAACTGGGCTCTTTTCATGCCTTGACTCCCAATGAGGACTTAGAACGAGAGATGATGGGAAGAGGGAATAGTGTATCCAAGACTTGAGCTGAACCCATTTATCTCCACACTACACCAGAAAAATTCCTGACATGCTACCCTCAAATTCCTAGAGGTCCCTTTTTTCATGACGAGTTACTTTTAGAAATTTATCCTTTTAATAACGCCATGAAAGTATATAAATTAGAAATCTGAGGGGGGGGGACAGACAGTAATGAGAGGGAAGGAGGGAAGGGGTAACAGGGGGAAAAAAGGGGAAGGGTCAAATCAAGGAACACGCATAAAGGACCCGTGGGCAAAGCCAAAGTGGGGAAGGACTGAGGGTGGGAGGTGGGGGTGGGTGGGGCCGGGGAAAGTGGCCGCGGAGAAATGGAGACAAATGTATCTGAACAATTAAAAAAAGAAGATAATTTTATCAATAACAACAAAAAAGAAATTTGAAAACTTTAGCTGAAAGATCTTTTACTTTATCACAGGGATACCCATGAGCCTCAAGATAATTACTGGGAAAACCAAATATTCCAAATGAATCCTAAAATAAAGCTCAATGAACCTCTGACTTAGAAAACGCCTTTCAGAAATAAGCCATTTAAACCAGTGGGGAGGCAGGAGGCTAATCATTTCATATCACTAGTCCTTGGTGTTTTAGTCACCAATATTTTTCAATTTGACCCCGTTTTTGACAGAATTTTCTCTTTTTTTCAGCTTTATTGAGGTAGAACTGACAGACACTCTAAGATATTCAATGTACATCTGGATGGGCTGATGTACATACACATTGTACACGGAGGATCTGGCCTCATTTTCACGACCACAGTGTGAGGTATTGGCTCCAAGCTTGGCAGAGGCCCTCAGGTGACCTCACGAAGGAAAGGAAACTGGACGCTAAGTTCTGATTTACCTAACTTTATGCATGATCCAAAACAAGAAATAAAGGCATGCTTTTATGATGGAGAATAACAGTGATGAACACCATGGTTCATGGATGCTGTGAGTTGAATAGTGTTCACGTTCACCCAAAGTCTCAGAATGTGACCTTTTTTGCAAACAGGTTCTTTGCAGATGAAATTAGTTGAAGGTCTCGAGGTGAAATCATCCTGGGTGTCAGGTAAGCCCTAAATCCAGGAACTGATGTCCTTGTGAGAGGGTAAGACACCCGAGAGACACGGAGAAAAACACCACATGAACACAGCAGCCCCGCGGGAGTGATGCTGCCACAGCCCGGACACCAGCAGCCCCCCGGACCCGGAAGAGGCGGGAGGGGCTCTCGCCAAGATCCTGCAGAGGCAGCGTGGCCCTCAATTTCAGACTTCTAGCCTCCAGAACTGTGGGAGAATAAAAGTCTATTGTTTTAGCTGCCCTAATCTGTGGCAATTCGTTAGAGCCACCTTCAGAAACTAATACAGACAAATACATGCATGTGTTTGGTTTGTAGCATGAGGGAGGGGACCACCATATGAACTAAAAAGCAGTTCTTCAACTCTGTACCCCCAGGACCTCTCTTCCTTCCCTATGAGAAGGAAGCACCCCTCTCAAAGGCAGAGGCAGAGGCTATTGACTAGAGAAAGGGGTGGCGATGGGAAGGGAAAGCCTCATCCCACCCACGCGACAAGGCTGGAATGAAACAGTCTGCTTGGAAATGCACGATGCCCCCTCACAGAAAAACCAGTGCAAAAACCATAGAGGGAAAATGCCACGAATCCAACTATACAAATATCAAAATACACTGTAAAGAAAATTAAAAGGCAATTGACTTGGGGAAATATTTGCAACATGTATGAAAGAACTGCGTTTCACGCAACATTAAAATTCTAACAAATCATTTTTTACAAAGACGAATAAACACCAAGTGTGAAAATGGGCAAAAGGCCAGAACAGGCAAATCACAAAATAAGTAAAAATGGCCACTAGCAATATGGAAAAATATGTATCCTTCCTAGTGATTAAAGAAGTGAATAAAATCCATTTTTGACAATAAAAATGGTCATTTTAAATAGAAGTAAGATTATTCCACAATGTGAGCTAATGGCTGGAGACATTTGCCCAGAAGGCACCTGCCTCCAGAAAGTCTCAGAGTGTGCCTCTCCTTCCACCCTTCAGCTTCTCCTGTAGGACCGTATTCTAAGGAAACAGCGGCGACCTCAAGATTCACCTATAAGCATGCAAGACAGTGATATAATGGGGGTGGGGAGGAGGAAGAGAAGAAAAGAAAGATTATAAGTGTACATTAATGACGCATTCCATCATCTAAATGATGTTTACTTTTTAAAAAAGATTTTATTTATTTACTTTTTAGAGAGAAGGTAGAGAAACATGAATGTGCAAAGGATACAATGATTGGTTGCTTCTCACATGCCCCCAACTGGAGACCCAGCCCACAACCCAGGTATGTGCCATGACTGGGAATTGAACCTGTGATCTTCTAGGTTTGCAGGCCAGCGCCCAATCCACTGAGCCACACAAGCCAGGGCTAATTTTTACTTTTTCAAGGCCCTTTCCTGTTTATTCTAAATTCCCTACACCAAACGTGGATTGCTTTGTGATCAGATGTTCTTTCTCCAAAGAAGTTCAACTTTATGGAGAGAGGTTAACAAAGACCAGGCGTCTACACTTGCCTGCCTGGGCCCACTCCCTTCCTGGGGAACCTAGCGTCCACACCTACATGCCTAGCAGCCCAGAGAAGCGCTCTGCTCTCGGCCCTCGCCCCTCCCAGGCAGGAAACTAGACTCCTGGACTCGGGTTCAAAACACCCGGTGCTTGGACGAGAGCAACCGAGCGCGGGTGTTTTGTGGGATCTTCGCCCACGAGAATACCTCGCGTCAGACGACAGAAAGGGGCGGTGGACGGCTTCCTTACAGACGTCTACACAAGTCATCCCGCTTCTCCCTCCCGGAGAATACAGGACGTGACATGCCTCAAGGTCCACGACATGCGGCTGCTAGCCGCCGGGGCAGAGCCCA